AAAAACCCTTTCAAAAAAAAAAAAAAAAAAAAAAAGACAAAACAAAAAAAACACCAAAAACCGCCTAAAGAATTTCCACCCAGAACCCTTAGCCGTGGTGCTGATCCTGAAGGCAAAGAGGGTCGGAGCACGAAAGGAGAGCGACTTTCCAGGACATACCTACTGAATTTTAACTTTGGACAAGCGAGGTCTATCAAAAGACACTTTAAGTAGCCCTCTTGAGTCTGTACAGTCTTGCAGTCCACCCCCATTCCAGTCAGGGCCCTAAAGAATTTCCACCCAGAACCCTTAGCCGTGGTGCTGATCCTGAAGGCAAAGAGGGTCGGAGCACGAAAGGAGAGCGACTTTCCAGGACATACCTACTGAATTTTAACTTTGGACAAGCGAGGTCTATCAAAAGACACTTTAAGTAGCCCTCTTGAGTCTGTACAGTCTTGCAGTCCACCCCCATTCCAGTCAGGGCTCGAAGGACCAGCCAGTCCACCTTCCTTCCCATCTTCCAGACTAGGAAACTGAGGCTGAGGGAATAGTAGTAAGGAGCTCCGTAGCACAAACAGCTAAGCCGAAAGCAAAGGTTCCAGCCGCGCAGATGCCGCTGGTGTTTAGGGGAACGGTAGGAGCAGAAAGGTCGGGAGTTGGTAGCCTGGACCGGGACAGCGGGGGCCGGTCTGTCCGCCGCAGGGTCGGCGTGGCTCTGCTGGGCGGGGACAGGGACCTGGGGTCGCCAACGCCTCCCGGCTCCGGTCCAGGGCCTTTCCCTTCTCCCACACCAGGATGCTCAAACGGTGCGGCTGCTCCTGCCCACACTCAAGTCACCCTCACCCGGTGCCAGGCCCCAGGACAGGCTCCCTCAAACCACGCGGGTCCCTGTGCCCTGGTGAAGCCGGGGCTCTTCCATCTCCCATCCGCGAAAACCAGGTCTGAGTGCCGGGCGCCCGGACGAGGAGGCTGGGGAAGGGACAGGAAAGGACTGCGCGGCCCTTACCTGTGTCGCCGCTTCTTTCGTTTTTTGGTCTGGTTTAAAGCCGATTTGGACATTTTTCGGTCACTGGAGGAAACATCCTCAGAATCTGAAAACGGGCGGAGAGATTTGAGGCAGAATGGGGAGCGCACTTTGCTGCGCCCCCAAACCCTGAGGACTCCGATCTTCTGCAGCCTCCGCGAGCCCCGCGGACCTGAGGTCTGCACCTTAGCAGGGTCCTGGCGACTGTCGGGATCCCTAAGCCCAGGCTGGCCCCACCCACGTCGGCCCCGAAAACCCAAGATTTTGAACAAATTTCGTTGCAGAGAGGCAGAGGCCGGGGCAAGCTAGCAGGCAAGGACGTGGGAGAAAGGAATGCTTTGGGGCAGTAGGGCACCAGTTCTGCCCTGGACCATCAGCTCCTGAATCCCAGACCCAAAAGTTGGCCCAAGGAGTGTAGCAGTGTTGCGGGGAGCTGGGGCTCTAGAAAGGTCTGGAAGCTGCGGGCACACTATCTCTTTTCGTGGCGCCCATGCAATGCGCCGAGATCCTGCGACGCGCCACTTTTTTTCGTTGTCCTAAATTTAATAATATAAAAGAAACGAAAAACTTGGGAGATTGCTGAGAGCCGGCGGGCCAAGGACACACAGCTGGGAAAGTGGCCCGAGGATGGCGCCGCGGGGTCATCTCGGGTCCCCGAGCCAGCGGAGAACTGGGATCTGATGAGCGCCCTTCGGCTGCCGCGGTGGCCTGATTTTCCCAGTTCGTGTGTGTGTGTGTGTGTGTGTGTGAAAAATAAACCTCAGATGAGCAATACAGGGATTTGGAAAGGAGAAAGGAGGAAGAAAAGGACAACTTCCGACAATGGGGCAGGGGCCGGACACCCTCTTTCTGGTCCCGCCAGCCTGTGGACCAGCATCACGCTTCAGGAGCTGCAGTGGAGCCGCGGTGGAGCCGCGGAGCTCGGACCCTCCAGCCTCCCGGGAGCCGCTGCAACAAGGCTCAGCCACCCGAGGCCAGGATCCGGTGGGGCCCCCGAATTTGAACAAATTTCGTTGCAGACCGCGTAGCGATCCAGCGGGGCCAGACACCAGCTCACAAGAACTGAGCAGCGGTCGGAAAAGCTGGGGCCGGAAACCCCTGAGAGTCCGGGTCCCTTGATGGCTCCAAGTGAGGACTGAAACCCTGGGGCCTGCACGAACTTTTCCGCTCAGGGAAGGTCAAGGCCGGCAGGCGAGAGCCGACGGCGCACGACTAAGGCTCGCCCCAACAGTCTGGCTGGCTAGCAGCCTCGCCCTCACCTACCCGAGCTGGCCGTCTGGCTGGCGTCCAGCGGCCCCGACGCTCTGCCTAGTGGCTGCAAGTGGACGCTCTGCGGATCGGACAGCACTTCCAGGAAGGTGGGCTGCGCGTAGAAGCCGGGAAGCCCCCCGGGCCCCAGCAGCCCCATGCTGCCCACTCCTGAGGGGCTGAGCACCGAGCGCGCTGCCAGCAAGTGCCCGGGGGCCAGGCCGTCGAGGGCAGCCCGCGGGTGGGAGCTGGGAGGCTCCTTGTTCAACCCCAGGATCTCCTGGATGCCGAATCCTGTGCACCTGGCCGGGGCGCCCCCCGAGGCACTCTTGGCCACCGTCTCGGATTTAGGCTTGCTCAGCGCTTCCCCCGCTTTCCCCGTCATCTCTCAGTTCTTTGGAGGGGCTGAGGCCGCAGGCCTTTTGCTCCCCCAACCCCCCCGCCGGGCTCCCCGCTTCTCGAAGTTGGTCCCAGATGCCCCCTCCGGTGTCTAATGCTCTGGAGCCCCAAGGAGATTCCCTTTTTATCCAACCAGGCGGCAGCCCAAGTGGGGTCAGAGCTGAACAGCCAATCGCCGGGGCCAGGAGCGATTAGGAATTCCAAAAAGCTGGCAGCTCCCGGCGCCACCCTCTCTTAGGGGCCAGGGCACTGCAGGTCCAAGAGTGGTAGGCTCTGCAGAGTGTCCTTGGGCTGGGACCCCAGGGGCAGAGGTGAAATGACAAGATCCCGGGCTGTTCCAGGACACAGAGTGGATAGGGACTTGAGCTGTACAGCCTGGCCCGGACCAGTGTCTGGGTTGGTTGGAACAGGTCTCTGGGGGTGGGTTGGAAGGATAGGCTACTAGCAGAGGTTAGAAACTGGGAGGCCTCCTCCCTCCTTTAACTCTTACCATGTCAACAGCCTCAGAGAGGCCCAAACATGGGACCTGTGTAAAAAGGTGGAACAAGGAGGCTGGAGGGCTGGGGGGGCGGGTAGCAATGTGGATACAGGAAGGGGCTAAGGTATGGAGAGGAAGATGTGAGGGTCAGGCTGGTCTCCTGCAGTACAGGACACAACCAAGTTGAGAAGTTACTCAGTAAATACTGGATCCTTGAGCAAATGCATGCTGAAGGGCTCAGGAATAGGAGGTCCTGGTGGGAAAGAGGAGCAGTGATTTTCTTTGAGGAAGCACTATGGAAGGCTTCCCTCCCCTCCCCTCCCCTCTGTCTCCTCCTGGTCTCTTCCTTTCCCTGTCCTCCCCTCCCTTCTTTTCCTGTGTCCCTCCCTCCCTCCCTTCCTTCCTTCCTTCCTTCCTTCCTTCCTTCCTTCCTTCCTTCCTTCCTTCCTGCTTTTTTTGAGACAGGCTTTCCCTATATAGCTCAGGCTGTTCTGAAACTCACCATGCTTCTGCCTCATCCTCCTGAATGCTGGGATTTTACCCTGGGACAAATTTGCTGGCCATGGATTATGAACATCTTCAAGGACTAACCATGAAGTGTGCCCAACTTTCACCCAAAGACTTTATTTATTCTGCCTCCCGATCATTTAGCTAATACACATTGGGTGCCTACTAGCTTTGAGTCAAGAGCTAGGGGTTCTGCAGTAAACCAGGTAGGCAAGACAAGAGACTTGTGGACCTTGGGAATTTGTTGAGCAAACAGAATGAAGAGCTTGGATTGTCCATGCAGAGGAAGAGGGAGGAGGGTGGCAACTAAAAGGGGAGCTGCTTTCCTCAGTTGACTACCTCTTTCCCCAGGTGCTGTGGAAGGGCAGTCAGCCATGCTAGCTGAAAAGCAGTGAAAACAGTGGTGCAATGCTTCAGGCAGGCTGGGACCTTTACCTGGAGAGACGAGAAAGGCCTGGATTTCTGTGTTTCCCATGTGTTCCTGCTTCAGGGCTTAGAGTAGAGCATGGTCCAAGTGTCACTAGCCAAGAGGAACAGGTACCCACACAATCTACAGACCCATCAGTTAGTTCCTCTGTCACCTTCCTGGAACTGGAAACTGTCTTATCTATTTTGGGACTCCCCTGTTCACTGTGCAGAGCTTGCAGTAAGTTTTTTTTCAAAATTAATTTAAAAATTAATATTTTTATGTGTATGAATGTTTTGCCTACATGTGTGTGAATGCAGTGGATTGTGCAGTGCCCCCAAAGGTGAGAAGAGGACATTGGGTCCCCTGGAACTGGGATTAGGGATGGTTGTTAGCCACCATGTGGGTTCTGGGAACCAAACCTGGGTCCTTTGAAGAGTAGCCAGTGCTCTTAAATGCTGAGTCATCTCTCTAGCCCCCCCTACATGGACTTAAGTTTCAATACATGTTTCTTTGACTCAAACACACCCTTGGAAGGGAGGTAAAAACAGGGTTGGTTGCTTTCAGCAGAGAATGGAAAATCAGACTGACAAGAGACACTATTCAGGACTTCTCAGCTAGTCAGCTACAAATATCCAAACAGAGGGAAACCCTAGAACCATCCTCTGTCTGCTGCCAAGGTGTCCATTATTCTCCATGGCCTCCAAGAGACCAGATGGAGAGGTTAAGAGAGAGTTAAGGGGTGTAGATACCAGGCTTTGTTGAGCTAGGTGTGGCAGTGCACACTGCAGTCTTAGTATACTACCTGGGTGGTAGTAGCAGGAAGGTCAGAGTTCAAGATCATCCTCTGCTACAGAGTGAGTTAAAGGCCGGTCTGGGCTACATGAGACCCTGTCTCTAAAAACAAAAAACAAAAACAAAAATAGGAGTTGAGGAGGTGGCTGAGAAGACCTGAGTTCAATCCTTAGGCAGGCAAGGTGGGCCACACTTATAATCCCAGTGCTGGGAAGGCAGAGACAGGTAGATCTCTGGGGCTTGCTGGCTAGCCAGTTGTGATGGTTATGATGGTTATTAGTATTGTCAACTTGACAGAATCTAGAATCACCTTGGAGATGGGCCTCTGAGCATGCCTATGGAAGATTATCTTGATTACAGTGGCTGTGGTAGAAAGATCTACCCTACTCATCATTCCTTGCTGTGATCCTAGACTGTGCCTGTGTAAGTAAAGGAAGGAGCTGAGCAGCAGCATTCATTCCTCACTCTCTGCTTTCTGATTTTGGGTGTGATTTGACTAGATGCCTCAAATTCCTGACACCCTGACACCCTGCTACGGTGGATAGACTGTGCCCTTGAATCTTGAGCCAGGATAAACCCATTTTCCCTTTAAGTTGCTTTTGTCAGAGTATTTTTATCACAACAGGAAAAGAAACCTAGATACCTACCTAGCCTAATCAATGACCCCAGATCCCAGTGAGAGACCCTGCCTCAAAAAACAAGGTAGCTGGCTTCTGATGAAGAATGTCCTAGGTTATCCTCTGTCCTTCACATACACATGTACTCCCACCCACCCATATGCATGCACGCACACACACACAGACACACACATGTTCATGTGCACAATAAACACATACATCTATATACACAGAGACACGTACAAAACAAACAAAATACAACTAGGCCTTGCTAACAGGCTGTGCTGGATAGCTTTAGTGTCAACTTGACACACCTGAGTTGAGGGAGCCTCAATTGAGGAATTGCCTCCATTGAACTGGCCTGTGGCCATGTCTGTGGGGCATCTTCTTGATTGTTGAGTGATGTGGGAGGACCCATCCCACTGTGGGTAGTGCCACCCCTGGGCAGGTGGGCGTGTGTTGCATAAGAAAGCAAGCTGAGCAAGGGCCAAGGGAACAAGCCAGTAAGCATTGTTCCTCCATGGCCTGTGCTCCAGCTCCTGCTTCCAGGTTCCTGCCCTGAGTTCCTACCTTGGGCTCCCTGATGAACTGTGACCCGGGAGATGTAAGATAAAATAACCCTTTCCTCCCTAAGTTGGTACTGGTCAGAGTATTTTGTCACAGCAATTGAGAAACTAGAACACAGGCCATTGTGAGATGTGTCTCCCTCCTCCCATCACTCTGCTATGGCGTACAAGAGCTGGAATTAGATGGCGGCATCTGGCATCTTACAGAGCAGGAGATATCTTGGAGAGGTATGGGGCTCACTTTATTATGTTATTATATTATATCCCACTATGATATCATGTCTATTGTACATACACATTGTCCTAAACCCTTAATATAATCTCTGGTCTTACAACAGCCCTATTAGGGAACGTATTTTGTTTTGGTTTTTGGTTTTATAGAGAGTTTTGTTGTTTTTTGACTTGAGACAGGGTCTCATGTGGCCCAAGCTGGTCTTGAACTCCTTATTGCTGCCTCTACTTTCCAAGTGCTAGGATAACAAGTGCCTACCATAACACCTGGCTTTCCACATGTGAAAGCTAGCTTAGCAAGGATCTGCAATTTCCAAAGCATCTGTCACTTTGGGGTCTGTAGAGTTGAGTTCTAAGTAGCACCACTCACACAGACAATGTAAATCCTGAAGTTGTTCTAAGTGGTGTGCTTGCTTGCTAGAGGAATTTCTGCCCCTTTTTGTGGAAACAGAAACTTAGATTCTCTAAGACTTTAGCTAGTGAATAAGCTGCAGAGGCCAGACTCAGCCTCCCAAGTCTGATGTCAGAAGCTGCTCCTATTAACTCCTTACCTCTCAGCCTCTTCTCCATACCAGCCTACCCCAGGAGGATGGATAAGAACATTATGTTAATGATATCTGTCATATCTCTGACTTACCAGGAGACAGTCACGATGAGCCAGATGCCCGCAGATGGGCAAGGACATGAGTAATGGAGAACGAGTGTGTGAGTGATGAAGTCAGCTCTTGCCAGAAGAGGATGAAAAATCTCTTACCAGTTCCTATGTCTGAAACTGCCAGTTTCCAACCCCAAGAGATAGTCACCAGTCTCCCCTCAGAGGCTGGGAACCTGGGCAGCCCCAGATTGTCTGAAAAACACTTTTGACAGAGGCTGCAGTGGAAGATGGTCAGCATCAGTCTGCAGCCAGAGCTGAAGCCTTGGGAACTGGACTCCTTGATTGATTTTAGAGGATGGAGTGAGGCAGAGCTACCTCCACTTTGGGGTGTCATTGTTACTGATGCATAGATGCTGGGCTTGAACCAGACCCAGACTCAAGATATTTGTGGAGCTGAGTGTGGTGGTACAGGCCTGTAATCCCAGCATTGAGGAGGTAGAGGCAGGGAGATCAGGAGTTCAAGGTCATCCTTGGCTACGTAGCAAATTTGAGGCCAGTCTGTGCTACATGAGACTCCACTTCAATCTTTCCCCACTAAAAGGCATTTGTGGGGTACTGGGGATTCCTACAGAGAAAGGTTGCCTCTAAAGCTTCGGCCAGGGCTTGGGAGAAGCAAAGTGTGCTCTTTCAAAGATATTAGTCTGGTCACAATGGAGTCCAATCCTGACTTTGCTTGAAGCCAATTATTCAACTTCTTCAGCTTCAGTTGAACTACCTATAAAACAGCCTGT